GGTTCTCTGCTGGCTCTGCGATGCTCCAGGCCGCCGCTGTGTTTGTCCGGGTTTGGTGGGTGGTTTGCTCCCATTTTTTTTTTTTTTTTTTTTCCCCTTTTCCCGTGTGATTGCAGCGCTGGGAAGGGTTGGGGCTGAGCAATGCTGGGATTGATTTGGTGTGTTTGCTGCAGTCTGGGTTGTTAGCCGGGTGCTGGGCGGGTGCAGCCCGAGGTGCCGCGCAGGGGGAGCAAAAATCTGCAGAAATGTAAATTGCTTCTAAAGAGAAACTCGTTTGCAAGGAGGGAAGAGCTGGGGGAGATTAGGGTTGCATTCAATGTTACAATTTTATATATTATCTATAATAGTCTAAATATGAAAACACACGGCAACTGTATATGGTGCTTTACTAAATATATAACTCTGTTGGGCGATGAATTTGTTCAACCCGCTCTTCCCGCCCTCCCTGCACACCCCGGGACACACGACGCTCTCGTCCCTCCCGGCTGCCTCGGGACGAGCAAACCGCCCGCGAGAGGGGGTCACTTCTCCCCAAATTTCTCCTCCGCTCGGTCCCAGCTCCCGGCAGGATCTCGTGTCCCCAGAATTGAACCTGCCTTCGTTTCACGACTGCCATCCTCTTGTCGTAACTCCTCTGCAGCTGGGCTGCTCGGGGTGAACCGGGCGGGCTGGCGTGGGCTGGAGCTGCTGGGACCGCGGCTCCCAGGCGTGTGCCAAGACCTTTTGGGGAAGAAGCTGGGGGTTTGCTAATGCATCGGGCAGAGCTCTGCAAACCTCTGCCTTTTCCCTTCCTGACACGCTTCAGGAGCGAAAGCTTGAGCTGATCACGGCTGCAAGGACCCGGGTCCTGAGCGACGGCTCGGCACGTCGCACTGAACCCAGGCAGATCAGGGGAGGGTAGTCCTAAATCCCTACCCAAAGAGCAAAATGCAGCAGGTCATCCAGAAACGCATCACTCCAGAGCAGCTTTTTGGCCTATTTCTGAGAACACAAAAGGTTACGTGTCCTTTTGAGGCGGATCGGTGGTGTCAAGCTGCATCACCGTACCTCCGTGGCCTTGAGCCGCCTTCTGAGCAGAGGGTGTTGGGGAGGCAGCAGAAAGAGCCAGGGATGGGGGGGGGGTAAGTCCGGACCAGCTTCCCCAGCCCCAGCACGGATACACCATGCCGGAGCACAGGGCAAATAGGCAAAATAGCCACGTTCATCTTAATGCCCTCCGCTCGGAGCTGGTGGCATTATAAATGTGTCCTTTGTACTTCGTGCAGCTAATTAAAGGCAGTCCCATGGCAAGGAAATAAGAGAAGTTTATAAAAAACATTTGCATGGTTCTTTTTAATCTATACTTCTCCCTCCGCGAGCCAGATGAAGAAATGCTGGGGTTTAACTGGGCTTGCTCATTTAAAAATAAAAAGAGAGCGAGCAACAGAAATATCACGTCTTGTATGCAATTTCCATACAAATAGGAACTCATAAAAGCAATAAACATCTTTGTTTCAGACATAATTTTTTATTAAATGGGGGAGAATTAAATGATTGCACCAAGGATGGAATATGGCCAAATGGTGAAACATTTGTTTAGTATTAGGACAAGAAATCCTTGTTTTCTTTAAGGACCTCAGTGTGTCTTCTCCTGCCCGGCTAGATTTGGGTGAGTACTGCAAAACATTCACGAACGTTCATTTAAATTCCTCATGGCTTTGGGGGATTCAACCGCATTCATAGTTTTTGTTTGCTTTTCTGGGCACATCCATGAAAATGGGTGTTTGTTTGCGCAAATATTTAAGGAATGAAATGAAAAATCCCAAAGGTATTCACTAGTTAGTCTGGAAACGCCTTTTTTTTTTTATATATATATATAGAAAAGGGATTTTTTATATATATATATATATATATATA